GCTAGCTATGAAGAGAGGTTGAGTAGATTAGGATTATTTACATTAGAAGGACGGAGGTTGAAGGGGGACCTGATTGAGGTCTACAAAATCATGAGAGGTATAGACAGGGTGGATAGCAAGAAGCTTTTTCCCCAGAGTGGGGGACTCAATTATTATGGGTCACAATTTCAAGGTGAGGGGGGAAAAGTTTAAGGGAGATATGCGTGGAAAGTTCTTTATGCAGAGGGTGGTGGGTGCCTGGAACGCGTTGCCAGCGGAGGTGGTAGAGGCGGGCACGATAGCGTCATTTAAGATGTATCTAGACAGATACATGAACAGGCAGGGAGCAGAGGGATACAGATCCTTGGAAAATAGGCGACAGGTTTAGATAGAGGATCTGGATCGGCGCAGGCTTGGAGGGCCGAAGGGCCTGTTCCTGTGCTGTAATTTTCTTTGTTCTTTGTTGATCAGCATCATTCTGGACAAGGTAGTACATTTGATTAGCACCTCATCCAAAATCTTGAACATCTCAAATTCCCTTTGAAGCCACTCATATCCCACCCTGGATACTTCATTGTCACAGGGTCAGAACCCTAGGACTCCCTTCATAACAGGGCTGTCGGCATATTTGCACATGTGACACAGTAGTTCAAGAACATAACCCTCAATCACTTTCTTGAGGGTAATTAGGGATGTGCCATAAATGTTGGTTTTCCAAGTGACATTCTCATTCCATGAATTAGAGGTAGTCTCAAAGGAAAAAAACACAAATTGCTGGAGAAACTCAGCAAATCTGGCAGTATCTGTGGAGGGAAAACAGACTCAATGTATCAAGTCGAATGACTCTTCTTCAGAACAGAATGAGAGGGAGTGCTGCACTGTCTGAGTTGCCATTTCTTTTTGAATGTAGGCTCTACATGCTCTGCTGGAAAAAGATCGCCCTCTACTTCTTCTTGAACTACGTCAAAGAGCAGTAGCATGTACCTGATGTCCTGGACAAACTTTAATCCCTAGTCAAAACATAAAGCAACAACTACTTGGTATTTCAACTTGTTGCTCTGTGTGTAACTGTGTTGTCTGCAAGTTGACTGTTCTGCTTCCCTCTGTTACAATACGGAGTAGACTTCAAACCAGCATGGGTTGTTTTAGAATGCCCTAAGGCCACCAAAGGTTTAAAGATAAATACAAACTCTTTCTTCCTAAACTGTCACTCCCTTAATCTCTGTTAATAACCTTTTCTGCCATATAGCCCACGCTATGAGAAACCCAAAGCCAGTATTGTAAGGACAACTCATCCCTAACAACATCAAACTTACTTCACAACATTCTTTTTAAAATAAAATTTTTTTTGAAAGAAAAAATTCCAAAAAACTTCAGTTTCTGAAAGGAGTTATTTTTATTATTTTAAACTATGATGTAATGGGAACCAGAAATGCATTTGGCTGCCAGCTGCTTTAAGAAAAGTGTTTACAGGGTTAAAAGCACAAACACAGAACTTTACATGACCCCAAAGTAAAAAGAAAAAAAAAAGGGAAAAAAAAAAGAAATGATGTATTGCACTGGTCTTAGATAGTTTATCCAAAGCTGGCTGGGCAGACAACAGACGGATGTGATATGGCTCTAGTCTAATATTCCAGCCTCTCTACTTGCTTGCCCATGAGACGCTCCAGGCTTCGCTCGCCTCCTCCCTGTGCCCCTCTGTTGACTCTAGATCCTTACGAGCCAAAGCCATTACACGAGTTAAGTCACACACAATCCATAGGCGGCTGCCAAAAAACACCATTCTATAGCTGCAAGGCAAAGGGAAAATAAGGGGGGGGACTTGACACTGACATACAGCAGTCATGTGACACTGCTGTAGCCACACAGCTCTCGGTGTGACCCAGATCCTGTAATAGTCCAGCAATCTCAAGAGTACCACAATGATTCCCATTATGTAACCCCAGTCATGGGCAGGCTGCCAACTACAAAACAAAGAAGACTTTCTAGCTTGGCCCGTTTTCTATTTTCCTATCCCAGCTCCAGGCCAAAACAGTGTCATACAGCTGTGCAGGAGTGAACGAAGGGCTGAGACTCACAGCCGCTGCAGCTTCAAACTCAGCCCAGTCATCAGGGCAAACTTCAAAACTTACATCATGAACAGCATTGTGCTCAACTGCTTTATCAACACTTAGTTTACCAGAACTATACCATCGATCCTTCCTTGAAAGAAAATCAGAAGTGTTTATTAATAAAGTTCAAGAGAATTTGGGTGCACACATGGTCTGTGTCTGCACATTGTGCCCACATAGCTGTGTGCAACCGAGATCAATAAAAGCTGCACAATCTCACCTCTAAGAGTGAAATCTGGCAGAGTGTAAAAATTAACAGGAACAAAAAGGCAGGTTTGAATTTCAGTGAATGATTACATTTGAAATAATCTCCTGAATGATTTATCACCTGCTCCCTCCCAGTGGTTTCCCGCAGTGCAGGTGTAACAGCTACACAGAGAAATAAAACCCAGCATGAGACCATTGGATTAATGACAGTGGATAACCTATTAAGACATCAGCTGGTCAGCTATGGGCCCAGTGAGTTCATAAACACCTTCACAAATAGGAACAATAGAAATCTGGGCAACACTTCGGCAAAGTCTGTGGGGAATATTTCTTGAAATCTCACATCAATTTGTGTGCCATTTATCTGCATTTCTTGGCTGTACATCAGTGCTATCTCGATGGAGCGAGTGCAACAGATAAAACCCACACTGAGTTCCAAGAAAATTTTAAATTTAGTGAATGTTCCACATAAAAATGCGCACTGCCAACAACCAAAGATACCTTTCTAAATTTACTAATCATTCACTTTTTTGCCTTTTGTCTATTTGCAGATTTAGTTCAAATACATTTAATCACATGGACAGCAAAGATATAACCAAGGAAACAGGTTGGGAGGAGTTAGACAATACAAGGGAACTGAATTATCAAAAGACATTGTCAATAGCATCTCATAAATACACAGGAAAACACAGCCAAGTGCATTCTTTAAAAAAGATGAAGAAATTGCAGCACTGAGTTCATCAAAGCTGGCAGGTTTTAAGGAAACCTTTGAAGGTGAGTCGTGATATTTGGGATGTGGAAGCAAGATTGAAAAGCTTTGAATGTGACCTGGGACTTGGAGAAGGAGACAATTATTGAGAGGCTAGCGGTGGTGGTCGTTTTAAAGTGAACAACCCACTTTGCCTATAGCTTCTCAATCCTTCAGACAAAGAAAAACATGGAAAGAATTTGGGTAACACTGATTTTCTTTGAACAAGACCCGACTTTTCTTTATTGACTTGTGGGTTATGGACATTGCTGGCTGGCCAGCATTCAATGCCTGTCCCTAGTTGCCCTTGAGAAGGTGGGGTTGAGCTGCCTTCTTGAACTGCTGCAGTCTGTCCCATAATACCAGTGAGTTTAGGATCAGTGAGTTTATCCAGTAATTAGCTCAGCTGCACTGACCAGGGGTAATAATCTGCACTGGTAGGTATAGCAATAGTGGGGGAAAGGTACAATTGAACAGCACACACATCTCAGGCGGCATGGGGGGGGTAATTAGTGAGTGCTTTTCTCTCGACCAATAAACACTGAGGAGTGAATTGCTGGATCTGCACTTGCGAATGGTACATAAAGAGCATGGTACCATAAGGACTCAGCTGTGATGCTTTCTAGGCTGAACAGCATGCTAATGCTCATTCTCTAGTTCATACATGAAGATGGCCTGATGGGACAGGGAACTGAGAGAACATTCATTGGCCCCAAGGGAAGAAACAGCAAGTAAAGTTGTGAAATATGACCATGCAGATGCTAATTATAGCAAATTATCTAATGATCAGTGTGGAATGGACTCTCAGTATTCAGAAAATGCCCTGCCCCTACCTACCTATGGATTGGGCAAATGGACATTGCATGACCATCATTCCCTGTCTCTCCATTCACACAAGAACAAAGACCATGTCAACAAAAAACAGCTTTCCACACCAATACCCAATAGGTAATAAAAGCAATGCCAGAGTTAACACACTAACTACAATAAGGCCTTGAATTTAATTACACCTTTGACATTGCCAAATACCACAAACTGCTTCACGGGAACATCATCAAATAAAATATGACACCAAGCCACATGAGGTGCTATTAAGGCAGACGGCCAATGATTGGTCAAAGATTTTAAGAGATTACATTTTAAGGAGCATCTCAAAGGAGAAGAGAGAGAGAGGTGTAGAGAAAGGTGTGGAGAGGGTTAGAGAGGGAATTCCAGGGCTTGGAGCCTTGGGAACTGAAGGCCTAGCTGCAAATGAACAGGCGATTAAAATCAAGAAAACGTAAGAGGGCAGAATTGGAGAAGCACAGTTATCTTGGAGGATTGTGGACTGGTTAGATTTCAGGGACAAGGCCATGGAGGTGTTTGATAACAATCACGTGAATTTCAAAACTGAAGCATTGTTGGACAAGGAACCAATGTAGTTCAGTGAGCACAGGGGTGACGGGGACAGGAGTGGGTGAGAGTTTGGTTCAGCAGAATTTTGAATAACCTCTCATTTTTATAGGGTGGAAGAAGGGAAACCAGCCAGGAAACAATTGGTTTAGTCAAATGGAGAGATAACGAAGTTAATAACCAAGGTGTGCAGCATCAGAGTGAACGAGGCGTTGTCTGTGGAGGTGGAAATGGGTGGGCATAGTTTTTTAGCATTCAGCCATTCTGTGAAAAGGGATAGATTTTGAGCACCAACTGACCAGAATTACAGGTGGTTACATCCAAACTAACAAAGATCAGTACCTGCAAAGTGAAAAATAAGGAGTTGCAAATTTTGCAGAAAACTGAGGAACTTAAGTGCAATTCAACAATTGATTTGCTTATTAATTCAAAAATTCCCTTCATGATCTCTACCCTGAAGCTAGGTGCCAAACCAAAAAAACAGTAGAGGGGAAAAGAATTAAGGAAGAGAAACAGAAATTTTTTTTTTTGTTGCAGTTTAAGCAGAGATTTAAATAACATACTCTTTTGGCAGGATGAGGGAGTTAGGTGGCGGGTTCCACTCATCTGGGTGGCCCAGCATCCAATCAGACCACACTTTCACACTGGGAAGCAGCTCCTTCAGGTCGAAACTGAAAGTGGACACTTTAATATCATCATCTTCCTCCTCACTTGAGCGGGCTGTAACACAAACACAAACGGTACATATAAGATGGGCTGGAAGCAGCAGTCATTTGCAGTCAGTCTTTGTCATAACACACAAGACTATTTGATATAAGCTCTCCATAAAGAAGCTTTGAAGCAATGCCTTGCATCAGACTACCTAGTTCTAAGAATTTATACAGTTATTTATATCAGTTTAAACAAATGGAACAGTATTAGAAGCAGCGAACAAGACATTATGACCTTATCCCACCAATAGAAATTATTGGTCTGTAACTTTGCCTGTCCCAGAAATGAGGTATGAAGTGAAGTGCCATGAGGATGCGTGAACCAGACAATATCTTCTTGCATCAAGAGGCGAGCAGCATTTGATGGGTGCAAACTACATCCTAAGTTCACCAGGAGTGACAAAGTGGACCAAGGGACGACAATATGTTGGGAGAGGGAGGAAATCAGATGGACCAATGTTGGGGCCACTTTGGACTACTCAGATCACATAGCAGTTGCTGCACCCCTCCTTGCATTGTTGGTTGGGTCAGTATTGCTTTCATGTATCCACTCGGGACATACGTCATGGAAAGAACTTCATGCACATAAGGTGCACTCATTTTCTACCTGAATGGAAAAACCTGTTCCACTTTTTACTCAATTGACATCTTGCTAGGGTAAAGCACCTTTCAACTGGGTGAACCTTAGGTACAACCCAGCCATGGACACCCAATAAGCTACACAACCACACTATTTACCACAAGTTCCCTGTATCGTCATCCCATGTTTATACGTCAATCTTAGCAGCAATGATTGAAAGATGGTGACCAGGAGTAGGTGATGGTGTTAAGATCAATGGTATTCACTCCATGGCTATTACAGCAACCATCAGAAACCCATCCTAGTCTGTCGATCAGAAGGCAACAGCCAGATCTGGGACTGGATTTGCTTGATACTAACTGCCCACAGCACCTTTTTCTACTAATTATTCTTCATTTGAATCATCAGACAGAGAACCTGAGCAAATCATCAAGGGCATAAAATACAAGCCCAATCCTGTAATTCGAGTCACTATTTTCTCTGCTGACCCCAGGGATGCAGAGGAAAATTGCAACACCCCAGTTCAGATAAGCTAGAAACCAGCTTTCGGATCTCCTTGTTGTGCAGGGTTCAGCAGTAAAACATTTAAACCCTATAAGTCACAGGGAGATCTAATCACTGTGATGAACCAAAATGATAGCATGGTTAGGATTCTGATGTTTGAACATTGCCTAGTAATTCTCGTAACTCTCAGCTAAATACTGCAACCAGTAAATCAAATCCTAGATTGATGCATGCAGAACGGGAGCAGTAATGTTACAGGTGCTGTTACTTAACCACTGGAATAACAGTTGAGAGAAAATAAATACTTGAATTTATACAGTTCTTTATGTCAAGATTGGAAAATCTCAAAGCCAATTTGATTTTGGAGCTGACTGACACATACAGATAAATAGCACTGAGAGGTTACACTACTGGACAAGTAATGGAGAGGTGCGTACCAGTAATAAAGAGAACATTAAGTTAAACTCCAGCATGCAGTTCGAGCATTTAAATACAGTCCTAAAAAACATCTGGTAAGATCTTGAAGTTGATTTCAGTAAAAATGACACCCAGGCTGTCAGACTGTTAGGAAAATCCAGTGGCACACGAACATCCAACATAGATGACTCTCAACGACGGGAGGTGAGGCGACTATCGCTGGACTGTTATTCTAGAGACCCAGGTAATGTTTTGAGGACCTGGGTTTGAATTGCGCCACGGTAGGTGGCATATTTTGAATCCAACAAAAAACTGGAATTAAGAGTCTAACGATGACTATAAATTCATTGCCGATTGTTGGAAAACCCATTTGGTTCACTAACCTTTCAGGAAGGAAACTGCCATTCTTACTCAGTCTGGCCTCCATGTGACTGTAAACCCACAGCAATGTGGTTGACTCTCAACTGTTCTCTGGGCAATTAGCGAAGGGCAATATACACTGGCACAGCCAGCGATACCCTCATCCCGTGAATGAGTTTTAAAAACTGCCCCTTGAAGTGGACTAATAAGCATCAGACAGCTCAAAGATGTATGTAGCCCACTACCAACTTCGTGGAACAACTAGGATGGGCAATACAGCAGATCCTTGGCATCGAAGAATTTTTTTTTTAAAAACTGGCAGTCCATATGTTCTACAACAGTGAGATGAATGACTGTTCAAACTGTTTTTTTTGCGATGCTGATTGAGGGCTATGCATTGGCACCCAGCAAATTCGAAGTTCATCAACTAGCCAGGTGAAGGTGAAATCTTAATAACCACGTCAGCAAAAGGATGTCAGCCTAACAACCCGTCAAAGGTTTACAGCTGCGACAAAGCAGCCCTCCCTCAGGAGTGCATTGGAATGTCAGATTAGTTTATGCTCTGCGGTCCAATTGTGGGACATGAATCACCTGACTCAGAGGTAAAGACCCCTCCAATTGAGCTAAACTCTACTTGGTGCAATAAAATTTGACTCATCTAAAGTTCACCTTTTTAAACATGGGAGGATCAGGCATTCTGAACTCCTACAACTATTAAATAATCTCCAAACAAGAAACAGATTGCAATAGGGTGGGGAAAGATCAAAACCTACAACAAAAACAATTAAAGACGATACAATCAACTTGTTTTAACACAAAAAACAAAAAATATTTTTCTTTTATTTGCATTTTTCATGGGATTAAAGATAAATGTTAGAAACTTTTATTTGTAGATCTAATACCTGGGACATCAACACTTTAACAGTTATCCACGTCGTGGGGAGTCCTCTTTAGAACTTGCAGAACACCTGTGGATCAATTTCTGTCGAGCAATGCTATCCAGCCCAAATATTTAATTATTCTTTTAGTAACGCAGTGAGATCTCAGTCATTTGGACGTGATGTGAGGAAAGATAAGAACAACACCAGAATGTGACGAGGCACAACTAGTAAAAAGTCAGCAGGAAAAGGATATTTAGGGCAATTAAATTGTCTTTAACCAATTTATTGCAATTCTTCTAAAAGGAAAAGATGCGGTGTGGATAACGTGAGCCTGTTGACTACCAGTACTTAGATTTCCAGAAGTCATTTGATAAGGTTCTGCAGAAAAAATTACTACTCAAATTAGGAGCTTGTGGTGTAGGGAACAACATACTAGCATGATAGAAGATTGACTGGCTGGCAATAAACAGAATATATACCTAAATATGTCTTTCTTCAGACTGGTAGGATGTGATCGGTGGGGCCCTGCAGGGATCTACACGGAACCCTCAATATTTTAAATTTTATATAACTGAGATAAGGGAATCAAAAGCACAATGGTTAAATCTGCAGGTGACACAAAGATAGGTAGGAAAGTATGTCATTATATAAAACAACATGGATGCAGACTGATACAAGACTGGTCATGTGAGTGGGCAAGAAGTCTGACAGAAGTATAATGTAGGAAAATATGAAGTTGTTCATTTTGACCAGAATTTTAAAACAAAAAAAAACTTGTATTTAATTGGAGAATGACTTCAGAATGCCGAGGTTTAGAGAAATCTAGATGTTCATGAGTCACAAAAAGTTAGTATGCAGGTACAGCAAGCAATTCCTAAAACTAAGGAATAAATAAATAATAAAACTACGGGCAGCACCGTGGCTCAGTGATTAGCAGTGCTGTCTCTCAGCGCCAGGGACCCGGATTCAAATCAACCCTCGGGCAACTATCTGTGTGGAGTTTGCACATTCTCGCGTCTGTGTGGATTTCCTCCAGCTGCTCTAGTTTCCTCCCACAGTTCAAAGATGTGCAACTTAGGTGGATTGGCCATGCTAAATTGCTCCATAGTATCCAGGGATGTGCAAGCTATGTGGATTAGGCATGGAAAATGCAGGGTTTTAGGGATAGGGTGGAGTGGTGGGTCTGGGTGGTATGTTCTTATGGAAGGTCAACGCAGATAGAGTGGGTCGAATGGCCTCTGTTGGCACTGTAGAGATTCAAAAATTCTATTCTATGAATGCTGACATAAAGTCATACAACATTGAAACAGACCTTTCAGTCCAACCAGTCCATGCCGAACATAATCCCAAACTAAACTAGTCTCATCTGTCTGCTTCTGGCTCAAATCCCTCCAAACGTTGCCTATTCATATATCCATCCAAATGTCTTTTAAACATTGTAATTGTACTCACATCCACCATTTACTTGAAAAGTTCATTCCACACGCAAACTACCCTCTGTGTAAAAAAAATTCTCATGTCATTTTTAAATCTCTCTCCCTAGACTTGAAATTCCCCATCTTAGGGAAAAGACAACTACCATTAACTCTATCTATACCTCTCATTATTTTATAAACTTCTTTCAAGTCACCTCTCAAACTCCTATGCTCCAGTGGAAAAAGTCCCAGCCTATCCAGCCTTTCCTTATAACTCAAAACTTCCATATCCGCTGCATCCTGGTAAATCTCTTCTGAATCCTCTCCAGCTTGATAATATCCTTCCTACAACTGGGTGACCAGAATAAGATATAGTACTCCAGAAGAGGGCTGACCAATGTCCTGTACAACCTCAACATAACGTCCCAACTCCTATACTCAAAGGACTGAGCAAAGAAGGCAAGCATGCAAAACGCCTTTTTAACCATCCTGTGTATATGTGACACAAAAACTTTAAAGAATTATGTACCTTTAATATCTTATTACCTTTATTACCCTTTATTACCCTTTATTATACGAGACGAATAAAGTGAGGAATTACTCAGACACACAGGGAATTGCTGAGATCATCTATAATATTGTGAGCAGTTTCGATCTCGAAGGATGTAAATACATTGCAGGCAGTTCAAAGGAGGTTTACGTGACTGATACTTGCAATGATTGGTTTGTCTTATGTGGAAAAATTGGAAGATCTGCTGGGCTTGTTTTCATTGGAGTTTAGAAGAGTGAGTGAAATTTGAGTGAAGTTTATATGGTCCTGAACGATCTTGAAAAGGTGGATAAGTGAAGGATG